TGTCGGGCGTGAAGGAAAAGTAGTAGTGTAACTAATTCCTGTTGCCAGAAAGTAACGATCGCGCTCACATTACTCTTCATTACGAGCGAGTCGAAGTACAGCGCCCTCGCGTCTCTCACGACAAACTCAAATTTATTGAGCTGCCCGACTCGTGCTAATTGAAAGAAATTGTGTGTCTGTTTGGGTTCCAGGCGCTTTGAGAACCGCTGCGGTGGCATCTGGACGCGTGAGGAGCCGCGGCTCCTGAGCGCCACCTACAGACAAATTATACAACTACTATAAATCCATCCAACTTTATCGGCATGCATACAGTACATTCATATGAAGCCATATTTACTACAGGCTATATATCAAATCTCAAATGCAAACTGTTATCACATAGCTGTGTGTAAATATATACTAGCATTCAAAAGTTTGAGATCAGTACGATTTTTTATGTTTTTTAAACAAGCGTCTTCTGCTCAGCAAGGCTGTATTTAATTGGTCACAAATACAGTAAAAACAGTACAAATTGTGAAATATTATTAGAATTTAAAATAGCTGTTTTCTGTGTGAATATACTGTAAAATATAATTTATTTCTGTGATCAAAGCTGAATTTTCAGCATCACTACTCCAGTCTTCAGTGTGACATCATCCTTCAGAAATATAAATACAATAAATGTAAACTATATTATCATCCAGCTCTAACCTTTTTTTGAAAATTGTCCTATTATTTAAAGAAATTAAAATAAATTATGAAATTATTTATTTAAAGGAAATAAATAAAAAGAAAAATAGTAGTAAAAGAACTAGAATCTATTGTTAAGTAATTTTTTGTATATTAAAAAAAATTATATATATATTTTTTTTTTTTTTTTTTCTCAGTATATGTATTTAGCATATATTTAAAAATATTTTGGCCAGAATATATATATATATTTCCATATAAGATATAGCATTTTATACAATATATTTTGTTTAAAAGCAGATTCATAGTAATAAACATAAAAATCAATACGTTTAAGTTTGTTTTTTTTATTGATATAGCACATTTAAAAACAGCAAGCACGGCTGACCAAAGTGCTGAACAAACAAAAACATAGAACAAAATTCCAAAATCAATTATGTAAACTTCATCAAATATGAAACAAATTCAAATTCAGCTGTAAAGCATCTCTATAAAAAATAACGATCGTGTCATTATTCAGCTCCAGTCAGTCCAGTAGTGATTTTACTGTATTTTGAGTGAATATTCTTGAGTTAATATTTCTGTTTGTTTGTTGTTGTTGGATTGTAATCTGCTCTGTAGGTGTTGATTAGTAACTCTGATGTGTGTGGAGCTGGTCTGCGGTCCGTATGTCGAACATCGGTGCATCGGTGAGTTTAAGGCAGAAACACACAAACCCCGAGCTGTCAGAAAACACTGACACGGCTGTGCCTTTCTTCTGGCTTTGCTTTCTTCCTCTGGCAGCACTGGAACACCTCGCATCTCCAGCCCTGAAAACTCCCAATAATTGCCTGATTCAATATTCACAGTCAAATCGACACGGAAACACATAGAAAAAAGACTTTGTGGGAAAATAAATAACTCGTCCTGTGAGAGGGGCACATTTCAAATCAGCTGTGTGTGTGTGTGTGTGTGTGTGTGTGTGATGCACAGATGACAGAAGTGCACAGAGAGAGAGAGCAGGGAGAAATGTTGAGCTAATATGAGAAACTGAAGGGAAGGTGGACGAAAGGGAACGAGTGATTCTTTTGATCATGTTTGTGAAAGCACCAGGAATGTGATCAGCGGCTCGTCCGCTAACGATCCTGATGTTTCAGATGACTTTAGTGCGTTTGATTTTTTTCTAATCAAAAAATTATTTTCTTCTTTCTTTGTATATCTGTTTAGTTTTCCTGTACAAATATCAAAAATTCTTAATTCTTTGGAAGAACAACGACTTAATATTTCAAGTCTTATTTTCTGAAGAATGCATCAAAATGAAGTGAGTTTATGATTAAAACAAGAACAAATATCTGTCAGAGGAATGAAAACTTGTTTTCTTTTGAATTAAGTTTATTTTTCTGAGTCCATTGGCAGATATTTGTTCCACTTCATTTTGATACAGTTTTTCAAAAATGATACTTCATATCTAAAGTCATTTTCCATCTCCAGTAAATGTATGTTGATTTAAGAATCTTTAGATATTTTTAAAACAAGACAGAAATACTGAGGAAGAACCTCATTTCAACTTTCAGATCTTCATATTATGTTTTTTAAATAAGTCAATCAAGGTAATAATGTTTACGCTTCAATCACGTAAAACATGTCTGAATTAGATTCAAGTATCACAGAAAGTGTCATTTATTATCCTCGCTGTGATATTTACTATCAAATATAATGATATTTCTGAGTTTGACATTGTCTTTATCAAGCAGCTCTACGTCACTTTATTGCAGCAGTTCTCAATTTGGGTTCAGGGTTCAATAAAGATGACTTAAAATAAGACAAAACAAGCTTTAACAAGCAAGATTTTTGATTTATTTTTTGGTCTTTAAAGGACCAGAATTCCTTTGGAAAACCTTGGAAAATTCTAGACCTGGAAAAGTCACGGAAAATTATAAAAACTCCATGGGCGCTTTAATAATTAATATACATTTTAGTAGTTATGCCAAGCTATAAATCTATGCTAAAATATTGTATCCAGTAAAAACTGTGAGTAAACAATATTCTTGAAAATCCAGATACGCCAGCAAAAACATTTTTATGCATTATTTACTTTTATCTTTTCTAAAATATATGCTAAAATAAATAGAAACTGAGTAAAAAATCTTCGTCTTGTGTTTTTCGGTCAGTTTGACGTATACTGGCTTTGCTCACAAAGTAAAACAACAAGAAAATTATAATTTTTGTACTTTTTGCTTATCTCTTATTACGTTATATCATCACCAAATATTGGATTCAATCATTTTCTAAACTTGTTTTCTTTCCATTAGCACAGGTTTGGTGTTTCTTTTTGGAGCTCATTGGAGGCTCCTCATCTTATGAATTAACATATAATGTTTGGTTTTTCACTACTTTTTAAATGAGATGTAATTTTTGTCTAGAAACACCAAATTAGGTAAAGGGTTGTCAGCGCAAACGGTTTAAAATCATTTTCCAGTAGATCATGAAGATCTGGAAGAGTCATGTAAAAGCATTGGTTAAAGAAGTAAACCTAAGAAGAGAACATTCAAGTCCTGGAACGCCTGGCATCTCGTGGTTTCATTCTCAAACCCCTGCTGGTTTTGGGGCTGTGGTTGTTGTTGAGGATGATGTTGTTGTTGTCTGTATTCTGTATGATCAGATGTTGGGTGTATCGTCTGCTGGTTCATCAGCGCTGGAGTTTGATGCAGTGACACACTGACCGTCTGCAGGAGATTCTGCGGTTTTCCTGCTGTATGAAACTCTCCATATTGGCACATTTGTGCTCCTCAGACAGCGGCTCCCAGGAGCCTCGCTGCCGTCTGCAGGGTTTGAAAGTGCTTTCTGACAGCGTCCAGGCAAGCTGCGCTGCGACGGCCGATCACTGTCAGCAATTTGTACATAGCCATGAGGGCCATGCAGGGGACAGACACGCGGCCGGCCCGCTGCTCCGTAATGAGCCTCACAGGACGGCCTTCTGTCCTCACACACACACACACACACACTCTCACACTCTCACTCACACACACACACCCACCCACAGACACACACACACACACACACCCACAGACGCTTCACAATATCTCTGTAAACTGTATATTAAACACACTCCATAATGGACATTTTCTGAAATACATCCACGCTAGTATCCACACTGCACTTGTAAGGTTAGAATACAAAGATTAGAATGTTATCATTATTTTAATGAATTTGACTGTCATATATACTGTATATATAGAGTGCAAATAATCATCTGAGATGCTAGATTAATACTGAAAGTATAAATATAAGCATAATTTAACTAGGAGTCATTAAATCAGTAGTAGTAACTATGATATATAATGTTTAGTGTTCTTTGACATAAATATGAAGTGTCGCTGCTTTCTGTGATAAACACACTCGTTGATTAAACACATGTAGAGGAATATCAATATTGTGATCGGAACAGAATAATGATCAAACACTGACACCTGCTGGCCACTGACGGTACTGCGAGTCATTAAAGGGTTAAATATGTGTAAGTTTTTTTTTTGAGTGAGAAAAAAAAAAAAAGTTAGGTTTTAATTTTGGGTGAACTGTCCCTTTAACATTTAGATCACATTTATATCATTTTTTCTCATGCAGTATATTGCACGTGAGTTTTGTGTGACATTTCATCTCATTTCTGACCACTAGAGAGCGCTGCTGTATACTGAGAGATTGAGAACACGCACAGACTGTTTGTTGTAGTTTGCTTTTACACAATGTGAAGCATTTCTAGAATCCAGAATCATGAATAAATACGGATACTGCTACAAAAACACGTTCTGGATTATTTTCTGCTCTGCTTTATTTCCCAAAGACCATCTCAAGGAAGTTCTTAATGCACAAATTTATGAAATTATATGAAAATATGGTTCGTATAAATCCGTAATGTCAATTCAGACTGCGTTTTTCAGATTAAATGTGTTACAAGAAAAAAAAAAAAAAAAAGGCTCTTTGCAAGTAAATATGATTGGGAATATTCCTCAGCTTTGTTTTCCGAGAGCAATTTAAAATCTTATGAGTAAATAAAAATTGGCAAAATAGTTAAGTTTTAAATGTGCAAAATGTGTAATAAAACAGTTAAATCTTGTTTAACTTTTTTTCTTCTTTTATGGGAAATGTTTCGTGAAAAAAGCATCTACAGCATGTTGAGAGTGACTTGAAAGTTTATTTGCTTTTAAACGGGAAAAGTCTAACTATTGAGATATAAAATGAAATTACATGATTATTAGAATTGCATAAATTGTGGTGTATACTGTTATTTTGATATCTTTCTGGAGAATCAGAATCATCATAAACACCTACAAAAAAACAGACCTGATAGGGCATATATTTTATTATAAAATTAAACAGCCAAATATAACATCGTCTTTACAATATTAAGATTTCCAATAATACTACACAATGAGATTTTCAATATAACTAACAGACAAAATTCAAAATTGTCCTGAAATCTCTTTAAAAAAAAAAAATCCCGTCTGATAGATGATTAAAAAAAGATTCATTCAACTGTCTTGGAATAAAACACACCAACACATTAGTCCTTCATTAACTCTTTCATCCACAAAAATCACAGCTGCTAAAATGAATAAATGCCAAGAGACTTCATAAGGACTGCAGAGCTTAAAACTAACGAACAGTCATGAAAGTCCTGATCAGATCGTTTGAGGTACTGTCCGCTCCAGAGAAGCACTGCAGGACGTTAGTGTCGTGTTTGGGCTAGCTATGAATGAAGCGCTGTAGAGAAGCTTGTGCGTGTGTTCCTCACGGGCCGGACGATCCGGTTCTGAAGAGTCCCGTCCTCCGGAGGTGTCTGATGATCAGCGGCACGGACACCAGCGTGATGCTGATCCGCAGCGGAGCGAAGAGCTTGTGCACGGCGTACGCTAACACAAACGTGCTGGTGCCGGCGGCCATCCGCGACTGAACCACCGACTCACTGAAGCCCAGCTTACACAGCAGAGCAGCCATGTCAAACCCGCTGAAAACACACACACACACAGGCTTCGAAGATGAGTCGCGTGCACTGCGCATTTGTAAATCACTTCAGATGAAAGCATCTGCTAAATGAATGAATGTAACACAATGAACCACAACAAGAAGTGCATTAGTGATTTTACCACAGTATGACCGCCAGTGTTGAGGGTAACGCATTACAAGTAACGCGAGTTTATGGAGTAACGCAACATTGTAATGCATTACTTTTAAAAGTAACTTTCCCCAGCGCTGATGACCAGTGTAACACGTGATAGCAAATATAAAACACTAAATATAAAAATAAAACGGAAAAAAAAAAATATATATATATATATAAACACACTTATTTCAGATGGTTGCCAACAATTTAGTTTAACTTGATACCCTAAAAACTTAAATAAACATACATAAAAAATATATTAAATAATTAAAAATTATAATACATATATTATTTTCCAATATATATTTAGTTATTTTATAAAATGTTATATTGAAATTGATTTGCAAATTAAAATGAAAACAGAAAATAAAAACTGAAAAATGTTAATAAAAACTAAAAAAGTATAAAAGTAAGTACACTATAACACGAAAGTTTTATAAAAAGTTGTTTGTTTTTTTTACTTTATTTTTGTAATTGATTTTTCAAGAAAAGAGTTATATAGCATTTAGGAAAAAATAAAACAACGGAACAAGTGGAGTACATTCTGTTGAAAATGCAAATGATATTTGCATAAATATATATTTGATTATATACATTTGAATGTTTTGTTAAACAAATGAATCTGACCTGGATACATCTTTTTTTCAATAATAAATTGTTTATTTTTATTGATATCAATTATTTTACTGTTGATTTTTCAAGAAAATGTTTTATATAGCATTAAAGAAATAACTAGGAAAACATCAAACAAATTAAAACAAGTGGTATACATTCTGCTGGAAAATGAATTTGCATGGATATATATATTTGATCTTATAGATTTGGTGAAATCAGGACTATGAATCTGACCTGGATACGACGAGGTAGAACATTCCCAGAGAAATGAGCGAGATCCCGATGTGGAAGGAGACGCCGACCGCGCCGTACTCCTTAAACACCTTCCTGAGCTGCTGCGTCTTACTGGGCTTCTCATCTGACCTCTGACCTTCAGCGCCGGACACAGACGACACCTGATCCTGCGGAGACACGCAGACGGGAAACATCAGCCATCAGACGAAAGATTCAATGTGAGTGAAAACAAGCCTCACGAGCCTCAGCATCACACAAACTCTGAGAGAGAGACCAGTCCAGGTCGTCCTGAAAAGGCCTCAGTGGGAGGGGCTTAACAGACCACAACCAATCAGAACGCAGAATATCTCGAGTGACTGCATCAGGAGCCAATGACTGCAGTCGTGCTGTGAACGGCGTGAGTGAGGATTCAGAAATAAGCGTTCTAATCGTCCAGTAGAAGTAGATTCGACTGTCTGTGCTTTAGTGAACACTCCGACTGAAAGCATGAAATCCTGCATTTTTAGTGTTCGAGGTTCAGAAGAATCCAAACACTGGAGAAACGGATGAAAACTGTCTGTTTACATGACAAATCAGTGTGTTTGTGCTGGAGCTCGTGTGACAGCGCGGATTCTGTTAACCTATGAGCCACAAACATGACCTAATTCAACCTCCGACAACACAAACACAGGCTTTCATTGCCATAGAGACGCCAGTGTGTGTGTGTGTGTGTGTGTGTTTGTGCGTGTGTGTGTGGCTGTGAGCGTTCAAACAGGCACAATGGTGTGTGTGAGTGAGTGAGTGAGTGAGTG